AGAGAGGTTGGCCTTATTCCTGCAGTCCGTTCCAGTTCCTACCACTGTCAGAGCTGCCCACCCTCATGCTGGCCCTTGTTCTACCTCCCTACCCCTGCCGAAAAGAGGAAAAGAAACTTGCGTTAGGCGTCCGGGGAGGGCGCGTGGCTCCGAGTTGTCAGGCTGCGCAGGTTGTTGCCGGGTGAGCGAGTATCACACAAATCCCAGGACAGAGAAGTCCCACCTCCCCAGTAACCACAGTTACCCGGGCCACACCTCCAACCCAAACACTGCCAGAGGCCCCGCCAAGGACCACCCCCGATTCCCTCGGGACCCCTCCCCTCCCTGTGACCAGCCCCAGCTGGAGACAGAGAGAGAAAGCCAACGCCCCCATTGCACGGAGATGGAGACTGAGGCCAGAGAGTGGGGACTGCGCAATCCCGAAACCGACGGGGTTTGGACTCAGATCCTGATAGCCCCTCCAGGGCTCCCTCCCATTCCTGGAGCAGCTATCAGTCTCCTTCCCGTGCGCAGGGGTTTCCACGTGGGAGAGGCCGAAAGCAGCGCGGTAACTGTGGATCTGAGCCCATCCACTCTGTCCTCTCTCCCTTCCCATTCCCCCGACGGAGAAACTGAGACCCGGCGAGGGGCCAGGACCCGCCCCAGACCCACCGCGAGCCCCTCCCTGCCTCTCACCTGCTGGCCGCGGCGGGGCGCGGGTGGTTTCCTGGAGTTGAGCGGCAAACAAAGGCCTCCAATCCCGGCGCGGGGCGGGGCGGCGACATTTTGCATAATCTCGGAGGCCGGCCTGTGACGGCCGGGGCGCGGCCCCGGGAGGCGGAGCCTCTGGAAGCCCCACCAATCGCAGAGAGGCGGCATCTTACGGCCCGCCCCTAGGGGTTCCGACGCTGCTCCAGGACAGAAAAATCTCAAATCTGGGAGATTGCGTGTCTTTCTGGAACCCGCCCAACTGCAGCCCGAGAGACTGAGGCCTGGAGTTAAGACATTTGTGTAGGGTCGCACAGAGCCACGCTGAGGAAGAAATCACAAACTCTGATAGCTGAAACGACTGCTTCGTAACAGTAAACTTTTCTTGAGCACTTATTATGTGTCAGCCACTGTTGTATACTTTTTACTCTACTCGATCCTCTCTGTCAGGTAAGTAGGTAATATCATTACCCTCTAAGTGTATTCTACTCCGAACCATCATTAGATAAGCGCGGAAAAGCAGGCCTGGAGAGAGATAAGAACTTCCTCAAGGTCCTGCAGTGAGAACAGGACAGAAAAAATCCGTTGTTCACTGAAACACGGTGAGGGATGGCAGCGTAAGGTGTCAAACTGGCCTAGGCTCTCGCCCCAGTTCTGCCACTGGCTGCCAATGAACCTCCGGTAAATGAGATTCTTAATTCTCGCCTCACAGGGTTGCTGACGGGGCTAAATAAATACATAAACATTGTACAAGGCCTATAAAAAATAAATTAATGACACTAACTTAAAGGGCTCCTCCACCAATCCTGTTTCACAGACGGGTGTAATAGGCCCAGAGACAGGAAGTGACTTGCCCAAGGTCTGGCATCCAGCTGTGTAGTCATGTTGCAGCCCAATTCTCTTTCCTCTTGGCAGAAAGCTCTTCCCAGTTCCCCAGGTTGCCAGTGACTCCTTACACTCATGACTAATGGTAATCACAGTAGCAGCTTCTAGTCACTAAAATCTTCCTCTGTGCCAGGGGCAAACATTTTTGCTACTCCTTACAATATCTCACAAGTTAGGTTAGTATTATACTCCCCATTTAAAGATGAGAAAATTGACCCTCAGAGAGGTTAAGTGACTTACCCAAGATCACACAGCCAGGAAGTGGTGAAGGTAAAATTTGATTCAAAGTGTCAAACTCTGTGGTGTGGGAATCTGAGCTGTGCCTTGTTCTCTGTCCTTGTGATTCTCACAGTGGGCTACTCCACCCACCTCTCACCCTGCTTTCTCCAAAGCAGAGAAGATGCCAGGTGATTTAAAGGTCAGCTTCGCACTTGCTTCGGCAGGCCCTGGCTCAAACCAAAAATTTGCCCTCTTCTTGTCTTCTCCTTCATCTAACAGCAGGCCCTGAAACTGTACCTTCCCTCTCCAGCTCTGGCATTATGAGTAAAGATGTTAGGGCCACAGGTATATGTGGCCAGGTGGACTTCTGGCCCCTCCCTCTCCCAATATCCAAGCTGCCTTAGCTCATGCTATTGGGTCCCTTCAAAAGACATCAGGACACTTGCTTACCTTGGAGCTTCATGTTGTGTACCTCACGCAGCCGAGGGCCCAAATTTGTCCTCTACCGCTCACTAGCTATGCAATTTTGGGCAAGCAGCTTGGCCTTTCTAAGACCGCCTGCAAAGGAATGTTTTTAGGTTTAAAATTCCACTGGCGAGGGGGACCCTCACACCCAATGGTCTGCAACCCCAGAGTCAGGCCTAGAAATTTCAGAAGCAGCAGTTCCATAAACTCATTCTCGTCCTTTTTTTTTTTCAGAGTACAAACTTGGAACCGTGGGTAGCAGCTGCTGAGAGCTCCCAAACCCCTGGGGTTGGACTGGGTGGGGAGATGGCTGGTTCAGGACATGGGAAGTCATGACCTGCCCTGGAGTTCATAGAGCAGGTCAATAACTGGCCTGAAATTCACATAGCGAGTCAGTAATAGACAAAACCCTCTCAATTCAGAACAGATGCACAGGGACTTGGACCTGGAAGAGATGTGGTGTTTATAAGGCCAGAGGGCTCCTTCGTTCACCATCATCCTGACAACAATCATCTCCCTGGGGCTGACTCTGAGTCTGGTACTCTGAGCCCACACACAGCATCCCAGCCTCCATCAGAGGCAAGTAGCAGTATTACCATTGTATTTATTTCCTGTGGCTGCTGTAACAAATTACCACCAGTTCATGGTTTAAAACAACACTAATTTGTTCTTAAAAAGAGAGTTCAGAAGTCCAAAGTCAGTCTCACCTGGCTAACGTCAAGGTGTCAGTGAGGTCAGTTCCTTCTGCAAGCTCTCAGGGAGAATCCATTTCCTTGCCCTTTTCAGCTTCTACATGGCTGCCTATATTCCTGAATTTATGTTCCCTTCCTCCATCTTCGAAGTGCATCACTCCAACCTCTGTTTCCATCACCACAACACACCTTTTCCTCTCTTGTGTCAAATCTCCCTCTCACAAGGACCCTTGTGATTACATTGAGCCTACCCAGATAATCCAGGATAACCTTCCCATCTAAATGCCTTAATCACATCTCCCTTTACCACATAAGGTAACATTCACACATAACAGGATCGAGATACCTTTGGGGACTATTATTCAGTTTACCACACCCATTTTCTAGATAGAGAACTTGGGCTCAGAAAGGTGAAATCACTTGCCCGTGATCACACAGGATTTTGAGTGTAATGCCAGGAGATGTGGGGCCTGACAAAGCCCTCTTGCAACAAGGTAAGGGTTATTCCCCCCAGGGGTACAAGGCCTGGGGAAGGGCATACAGAGTCCCCTGGGAGGGGCAGGGGACTTTGGAGATACTAGTTGCTTCAGAGGTCAAGTGGCATCCAGGGCTCTGGCCTCAGGTGGTCTCCTTAAGCTGGGGAAAGGACAGGAGCAGCTAAGAGCAAGATCTGGTGAAAATCTGTGGAATCAACTGCGCCCCACCCACTTCTGGAAGAACCCTGAACACAGGGCTGGACAAAGCAGGACTTCTCAAACTCTTTTTGCCCCAGAGAAAGCCTGGGGATAAAGGAGCTGGGCACTAGGGCTGATAGTGGGGCTGTATAGCAGACCATTTTTTTGCCCCCTTCCCCTTCCTGCCCGCTCCATGTGTTTTTACTTCTAATATCCACTGCCTGGGCTCCTGGACCAGCTTGGCCTGCACAGGTGGAGGGTGGGAAGTGACTGGGAATTCACTGCCTCTGCCCTCCCCTCCAGACCTTGTCCAAAGACTGACAACATGAAAGCCTTGTCCTTTTGCCCTGAGTGGGGACAACTCTACCCCAAACTTACACTCCAGTGTCTCTCATGGGATCAGGCTGCAGCTGCCCCGCAGGACTTTGCCTGAAATCGCATCCTGCTTTGTCTCCTTACCTCCCCTCCTGACTCCTCCACTGCTTCACTGGTCTCTCCCCAACACTTCCTTAATGAATCACCTGTACACACATCCTCAACTCAGAGTCAGCTTCTGGGACCAGCCCCAAGACAAGCCACCTTTCTGTATTTTCATTTGTGCACACTGTTCATTCTGCCCCATAACATATGTGGGCATTTTTAAATTATTCTGTGTTTTAGGCGTATAGCATTATAGTTTAACATTTAAAGTTACCTGTGCATTTTGATCTAAAAACATTATATGTAAATAGCCTTCAAGTAAGGTGCTCCAAGATGTGGATGCGGCTCAAGTGCCCCTGCACAGCCACTGTGTGACCCAGATTGAGCCGTAAGGGGCAGAGAAAGTGCAATGTTCGGGGGCCTCCATCTGTCCTACCCACCCATCTCTCCACAGCAAGCAAGTAAAACCCCAGCCGCGCAGGCCACATAGCACGCTGGATCCTAACCTTGTTCAGATCTCTTTATTGAAAAATTAAAGTCATAAGCTCTGTATATAAATACACTGAAGTCGCTGGTCACCTGCAAGGCAGCCTCTGGGATAGGCTAGGGGTACGGTAGAAAGCTGGCTGGGGTCTTGGGGGTCCCCAGGGGTGTGGGGAGGGAAATAAATAATAAATACCTTGGGGGATGAGGAGTTAGGAGGAACAGGGGTGTGAATGAGGGGTGCCTGATGCTTATTTGTGGCACTGAAGGTCCCGCAAGAGCCTCCCTGGCTGGGGGCCATGTCTATGGATTCTCATGTGACTTCACTCCAGACAAAGGCTTGGGCATCCGGGGATGGGCCAGCTCCTAGCTGGCTGGAGGGCAACAGTGCCTTCCATCCAACCCAGAGCCCTGGGAGGCCTCAGGTGGACGTGTCAAGATACAGGCACTCTGTGTCAAGTGCCGTGTCAAGACACAGGCATTCCCTTCCTTTCTTCCCTTTCCTAAACCCAGGCTTGTATTGAGCGCCTACTATGGCCTGGGTACAGCACCAGATCCTGACCTAACCTTCTGTTTGCCTGGCCTGGCTCTCTTCCCCTGGGTCTGGTCCAGTGGGCCATGAGGAGTAGGGGGATGTCTTCCTGCTACCCTGGCCATTCAGCACCTGCCCCTCAAGACGCTCAACAGTGCCAGGAGGGAGGAGGGACCAGGGCCAGGGGCTGGGCAGCAGTGGGAGGCCCTCGGGCCTCGGACCCTAGAGCATCACATTGAACTCGGTGACCAGAAAGTCGATGTAGTCACGTTCCTTGGTCTTGAAGGCCTCTGCGATGATGCGTGCGGCCTCCCGATGCTCCTTGCCCCGAAGCGTCACCCCGTTCACTTCCAGGATCACGTGGCCCACCTTGAGCTGCCCACAGTTGTGGGCTGAGCCGCCTCGCTGCAGGGGCAAGACACAGGCCATGGGCACATGGGGTGCCTGAGGGCTGGGCCAGCCTGGCCCTGACCATTCATCAAGTCATGCCCGCCACTGCCAACCAGATAGTTACAATCTGGGTGTCCACAACCCTGATGAGGAAAACTGAGAGAACAGTGAGAACAAAGGTAGTATGAGCCTGGGTCTGCCTTTGAGTGCTGGGTCACCTCTGGGTGTGGCAACCCCCTGGGCTGAGAGAGGGTCCTTCAGGGGCAGGGAGAGATGGTCAAGTGGGCCCCTGGGGACATACCTGAATGGTGACGATCCTAGGCAGGGGCTGGCGGGTGTTGGCGCCACCCTCGATGGCGATGCCCAGGGTGGCTGCACTTTTTTTCACGCGGATGAGGGTGGATGTGGGCTCCAGGAGTCCGGGCTGCAGGTGTGAGGAAGGAAACCAGTGACAGTCCTGACCTGCCGGCTGGACTGGTTACGACAGGCCTCTGGGCCAACAGGGCACAGACTCCAGCCCTGCGACAGGAGCCTGCAGTGTGCTAGCACTAAGCACAGCACTTGGTGTTCTAGCTCTCTAATTGCTACAAAAATCCCTGAAGTTTGGGAGGTTAAAGGGCTGGCCCAAAGCTGCCTGGTGGTGGCAGCAAGACTGCCTGCCCCGGCCACCATGTCAGAACTGAGCTTAAAGATCCCTGAGATCAACCTTCAGCGCTTGGCTTGTCACTGTCGGCGGCAAAGGAGGACTTAAACTGGAACTTCAGCCTCCAAATGTAGCATTCTTTCTGGACACTCACATCCCTCCAATGATGGGGGCTCACTTCCTGTGGTCACTTGTCAAGCCGAACTCTGGTCAAGACCTCCTTCCTGTTCTTCACCTGGGTTGGGTACTTCCCCCATCCTTTGTACCCCCTCCTCCTTGCTCACCGGTTTGGTGGCCCCCTCGGTGGTCCTCTCATTCCGAGGCATCTCCTTGCTGCTCCTGCTCCTGGTGGACGCCGTCTGTCTGCTTCGGCCTGGGGCACTGGCCTCTGCCTCACCAGCATCCACGCCACTGTCCTCACTCAGTGTCTGCCCGCTGTCCGAGAGCTGGGAGAGCGTGGAGGCTGCTGGGAGCGGGGAACAGGAGGAGAGTGGTAGTTTATACAACTGGGGTCGGGCCAGGCATCCTGGAGGAGCTGAGCTGCAGGCTGGAAGGCTGGGGGGATTTCCCTGGGCAGACTCTCTGCTACCTTTCCACCTACCGAGACCTGCCATCCAACCAGGCCTGGCCCCAAGGCTGCCACTTTCAGGATGTCTGCCTTGACTGCCTCTGGCTTAATGATTAAAACAGAGGTCAGAAGGCAAACTCAGCCCACAAATATGGGTTTGGCTTTGTTTTGTTTTTTAACTCTCACAGTGCTGTCAGTTTTTAACAATGGACCAACAAGTTCAAATTAGGACATTTCACATAAAAGTTAAATTTCTAGCTTCTCAAAAAGAAAAAAAGATCTGCTATATCTGGTCTGTACCCCTACTGACCCATGTGGCCTGAGCTGAGTGGTGAACACACACCCTCTGGTCTGCCATTCAAACCAAGCCGCTTCACTGCGTATGTAACGGCTTGATCCCTGAGTTTGAGACACTCTGGGGTCTGGCAAGTGGAGTGTGAATCCCCTCTGACCAGCTACACAATCCTGGGTGAGTTACACAGCCTCTCTGAGACTTCACGTTCTTGTTCTAACACAGAGGCAACAATGCCTACCCCACAGGGTTACCATAAAGACTAACGGTTATGACGTATGGGGTGAAGCAATCAAGAGAACAGGCTAATGCCAGACCGCTTGGCTCCATAGTTACTTTCTGTGTCTCAGTCTCTTCATCCGTAAAATGGGGATAATAACAGTACCAGCCTCACAGGGCTGTTGGGAAGATTAGATGCATTACTAACACAGGCAATGTCCTTAGAAGAGTGTTCCCGGCACAAAGATATGGCTGTATACCTGTTAGCATCTGTTATCATGTGTGTCCGGCTCAGTGCCAGGTCTGGAGTGATCCATCTATGATAGCTCCAGTTTCTCTCACCACATCCTGCCTGATCTCTGCCTAGCTGCCTTCCCTCAGTGAGCTACTCAATGCAGGGACCCCACATTCTGCATCCTGGTCTGCCCACTGCTTGGCATACAGCAGGTGCTCAGTTAACATCCCCTGACCTGGCCTGCCTGCCACCTTCTCTGGCCACAGCGGCCCCACGTGACATTTAGCCACAAGATGGCAGCAGAATCCAACCAACTGGACCCAACTCACTAATAGGAAGGAGGGGTTCCAGAGCCTGCAGGGGGCTCAGGCTTTCCAGAGTGGAAAGCAGGCTCTACCCTTCCCTCCAGCTGGACGTCCTCTGGATTCTCAGGGGCTGGAGCCTCAGGCTGTGCCCACCCCCCAACCTGGCGGTCTGAAAGGTCGAGCCTGCACTCTGACCCTACAGACCTCCGGGGTCCAGAGACTGCAATTTCAATACCCACCTTTCCCCAGCACCTGCTCTGTGCCTGGCCCTGAGGGACAGAGATCACAGAAGCCACCCCTGCCATGAATAGGCTCAACCTTCTTGGGAAGACTTATAGGGGAGTGCAGCGTGACCAGGTCTGGGGACCCTGGAGAAGGAGCCCAACCCTTACTGCGACCTGGCAGGACTGTCACTGTTACCTCTGATCCACGATGGGAAAGCATGGCAGCTGGTCCACAGCCACACAGCCAGTGATGGCAGAGCTGGGATTCACATTCCCACCTCTGCCTCCAAAGCCCCACAATGCAGGCTCAGGACCCTGTTCCCCGGCCCCCCTGACCCTGAGTGGGGAATGCCTGAGCTAGAAGGCCCCTTACTGGGTGAGCACTTGGTCCCATCTTGGCTGTGTCGACGAGCAGGTCAACCCAGAGGGGACAGGGACCCCTCCTAAGATGACATAGCGGCACCCCAAGCCCAGCCCACCCAGGGTCTGCTGGCACTCACTGCGTGTCTGGGGCAGCGCCCTCACTTCGTTCACGTCAGGCTCGCTGTCTGGGCGGTGCACCTCCACCATGACAAAGTGCTGGTTTGTACCTGTCTGGTCTGGGCGTCCAGAGGGGGAGGGTGGTGGAAGGCCGCCCCCGGCCAGCGTGGCCTCTGCAGGGGGGTTCTTCAGGTGTGGGGGTGACTGGACCCGTGGGAAGGGGCCGATGGGGTGCTGGTTGACCAGGGCCAGATGGGCATCCAGCGGCCTCTTGGAGCCGGGGTTGGCTGGGGAGACAGAGGTGTAGATGGGGGAGGAGGGTGAGTCCTGTGCTGAACCAGAGGAGTCCTCTGGAGCAGGTGTGGTGCCCGCTGGTGGGCTGTGGTTCCGTGGAGCCGAGAAGATGATGCCAGAGTGGGAAGATGCAGAGGAAGGCGGCTGGAGGTCCTCTCTGCCCAGCTTCCTCGGCTGGGAGAGCGGGTGGTCGTGGCCTTGGACCAGAGGTGGTGGGGGAGGCGGTGGCTTGTAGCTAGGCAGCCCCTTGGAAGTGGACTTGACATCATCCTGCCAAAAGACCCAACAGGAGTAGAAGGAGTCAGAGCCCATTGTGGCTGGTAGAGGGGAGAGCAGAGCACCCTGGCTGGAATTCCGTCTCCGCTCTATCAGCGCTTGGCCACGCTGCTCTGAATAATGCAACACCCGAGTGGAAAACTTCTCCCAGCATCTCGGCAACTGATAAGCGTTGGGATCTTGGTTGGCGTCTCTGGGGACAGCATCGTTACCTTTGGGAATTGAAGTTCTTGGCATCAGCCAGGGCTTGTCACAGGGAGTGGGAGTTAGTTAGAGGCATGATGCAGAGATGGAAAAACAAAAAAGGCCTTTCTTTGGCTTTTCTTTTTAAGGCTTTATGATGATTACTGGAGACAGGAGGTATATGACAGGACTGGAGAGGGGAATGGAAAGAAGGTGGACAGACATGGGCTGGGGTGCTGTGTGGCTCTGGGTGAAGCACAGAACCTCTCTGAATGCACTCTGGGCAATGGGGAAAACCGCACCTACCCCGCAGAGTCGTAGGGAGGTGGGGAGCAGCGTGTATAATGTGGGAGCAAGGGGCCTGTGAGGGGTGCTGGCTGTGGATACTGTCGTCCCATACCCCTTCTCCCTGTGCCAACACCCAACACTTACACAGCTCTGATGGCAGTGCAGGCACTGTTCCAAATGCTTTACTTAGATTAACAAATTTACCCCAGCCACAAACTTATGGGTTAGTACACTGCTATTACCCCATGTTACAGATGGGAAAACCGAGGCACAGAGAGGTTACAAAACTTGCCCAAAGTCACACAGTCAGTGACAGACACTGGGATTTGAACCCAGGCAGTCTGACTCCAGAACCCAGACCATTTAAAAGTTATTTGGGTCAGAATCACAAAGTGACGCTGCCCAGACTGCTGATGTGCAGGCATGAGGTTAGGTTTAATTCTCTTTTCCAGAGTAGTCACGTGGCCTCCTCGAGGGGTTCTCTCCACACACTTCATGCTTCAGTACTTGCTATGATTAACGTTCAGATAACACAGCAAAAGTAGCACCAACTCGGCAAACAGTCAAATGGCCTGACAGCGCTGACTAAAATCCCCAGAACAAGCAGAGAGCTCGCAGCTGAGGACCTCTGTCCCCTCCCTGTGGTTCTCACCAGGGAGCCAGCCCCAGGGCCTCAGGCCGACCCAGGAGGGCAAAACACAGTGAAAGGGTCTCACCAGGGAAACATCTGAGAGGGTGTTCAGATTGCCCTGGACGGCCTCCCCAGTTTCCTCCAGGTCCAGAGTGTTCTATAACAGAGAAGAAAGCACTGTGAATAAGAGAGCGAAAAACCAATTTGCTTTCTAGGACACCAAATTCTGTGGCCCCTATGACACCTTCAAGTGGTTCAAGTTTCTCCTGATACGCCCCACTCCATGGGAATTGACTTTGCACGTTAAAATTAATGTCGATTTTTCCTGCCATTCATTTTGAAATCAGTTGCAAGGATTTCAGTCTCTTGGAGACTTTCCAGCCTCCCCTGAATTACGTGGAGCTGCTGTGGGGTAGGTAGCTCTGGCCTCGACTGGGAACTCCTGACTCTCGACCTGAGTGCTGTGCTCAGCGCACTCATTGCCTTCAAAACCCAAGGGTTTTCTCCACGCTGCTCCTAGCAGAATCTCAGGAAGGTGTGGAAATGGCCAGGTACAAGTGAGAGGTGGATGGAGAAAGTCTCTGTCTCACTTTTAATTTCAATGGTTTTAATGTGTGTGGGAGGGGGGTTACAGTTTAAATGGAGCTTATTTTGCAAAAATGCTCATTTCTTCCTTCCTTTCCTAACTCACCAGAAGCCTACTGCTCCCTCAAGTGATACTGAGCTGCCGTGAGGCCATCCCTAGCCACCCCTGGGAGACTGAGCAGTGCTCCTTTCTAAACTGGGCTCCTGAGGGCTCAGTGGAGCCATTTCTCTCCCCTTCACAGGGCCCAGAATGGCAATGAGCCTCTGCGACCAACACTAGGCTCAAGTCTCAAGTTCAGCGATCAATATTGAGCAGTCTCAGTGCTCCAGGCAGTAGCTTAGAGACAGTGGAGCTGACAAAACAAGCAAGGAGGAGACTGCACAGGGTGAGGAAACACAGGTATATAATGCAGCTGGGGAGGAGTTATCCAGGTTGGCTTCCTGGAGGAGGGAGCAGGGCTTAAAGCTGAGTCTTGTGGACAAAGGTTGGGTGTTTCAGAGATAAGGGCGTGCATAAAGCTAGCAGGATAGAGGATGCTTGAGACTCCTTGGGTGGTTCCACGTGAGTCAACAGCTGCTTAGATCTAAGCTTGAGGGCAGTGGGTTGACATGGAGATGTGGTCAGGTTTGCCTTCTAAGAAGATCCCCTTTGCTCGCTTCCTCTCCAGCCACACTAAAGCAACGCAGGCATGTCAGGGATCTTACATTTAATACTGGCTGTTCTTTCCGTCTGGAACACTCTTCCTCGTGGCTATCCACAAGGTGTGCTCTGTTTGCTCACCTCCTTCCAGATCTTACTCAACTATCACCTCCTCAAAGAGAGTCTACTCTGACAACCCCACCTAAAATCACAACCCCCACCCCAATCTGCTTTATTTTTCTCCTTTGCACTGACTACTATTCAGCCAGCACCCAAGATGTAATCCTGAAACTTAGGTCAGATAATGTCTCTCTCCAGCTCATAACCCTCCAGGGCCTTTCCATCTTACTTGGAGGAAATTCCAAACCCTGCACTCATTATGCCTAATGACTGGGCCCTTTCTTGCTACTACTCCAACAGGATTGGGTGGTTCATGCCTCAGGGCCTTTGCACTCACTGTTCTGCCTGCACTACTGACTCACTCTCACTTCACTTAGTTCTGACACCAGCAAGGCCTTCCTAGACCAGCCCTGTTTAAAACAGCACCCCTCTCCACGGCCCCACACCATTTCTAACACCTGACCCTGTTTTGTTTTTATGTATAAGATTTATCACCAGCGTAGGGGGCAGGGTATAGCTCAAGTGGTAGAGCGCATGCTTAGCATGCACAAGGCCCTGGGTTCAACCCCCAGTTACTCCTTTAAAAAATAAAAAATTATCACCACCTGTTGTGATAATGTCAATTCGCTTATTGTCTGTGTCTCCCACTAGGATAAAAACTCCTCAAAGGCAGGACTTGTAACTACCTGGTCCCTACTTTATCCTCAGTGTTCAGGATAGTGGCTGCATGATAAATATTTAATAAGCAAACTAATGAATCCATGAATGAATCAATGGCTGAATGAATTAATCAATAATTCTGGCTGTCATGAGGAGGCCCAAGCAGGCAGAGAACTGAGCAAGGCAGCTACTGCAAGTCATCGTGGGGAGCAGTAACGGTGGTATGAGTGAAGGTCAAGGCAGTAGAGGGGATGAAGGTGCCCCCGAGTCCATATATAGGGCAGAGGCTGCCAGGTCACTTCACACTGACCCTCATCTGGAATGAGCTCCTGACCTTGAGCATTCTGGGTGGGCAAAGGGCACACGGTCAGAAAGGCCAACTATGTGAACTCACCAGCCAACATGATGCTCCGCCCTTCCAACCCTGAGGCTTTCTCACCCAGGGCTCCCCATCTGGTCCCCTCATGCCTCTGGGGCAATGTCAGGCTAGGACAACTGCCTTGTTTTACCAACAAAGCTGAGGCTTAGGTGTAAACCTCAGCCTCCTGATCTCTCCTGCTCTCTCCAACCCTGTCTCCTGCACACCGCCTCCCAGGAGGAAGCTGCTGTCAGCCTCGGTGACGCAGCGATGGGGAGGACTCCTTGGGTGGGGGGAGGGGAGGGCTGCTCTCCCATCCACCGATCAGTGGCGCCAGTTCTGGCTTCTCTGAGTGGCAGAGCTGGGTGACAATGAGCAAACTACTGAACTGCTCTGTGCCTTAGTTTCCTCATCCGTAAAATGGGGAAACCACAGTCCCTCCTCTGGCACAATATATGAGGGGAGGCGACTGTCACATCAGAAGCCTGGGATCCTGCAAATCAGCCCCAGCAACTGAAAGTCTGCCCAATGTGCCCTGGCCCATGGGAGCACCCAGATGGAAGGAAAGAGCAGTCCTCCCATACATCCCCTCCTCCCAAACCGTAACGAATCCAGTGCTCCCTGGAAATAAGTTCAGCTGCGCAACACAGAGCATCCAGGGCGAAGGTGAATGGAGAGGCAGGTTATACGCAATGACTTCCCAAGACTGTAGTCACTACTCTGGCCTCGGCAGGAGGCCCCGGGGGAGTCAGAGACCTGGGACGTATCTCAGCCAAGACAACAGGGGCCTCTGCCATGTTCTAACATAGCCACTGCCAACCGCCCCTGAAACTCGGCCGGAGGCACTCTGGGGCTTAGAAGACAGTCCGCGGTGGGGCCAAGGCCATGGGGTTCTGTCCTGTTCTGGCACATCAGGAACTTTGAACATTTATTTAGTCATTCAACAAGCATTTGTCAAGCATCCTTCACTTATGAGGAAAGCTCAAGGGGATACAACATGAGCAAGTCATCATGTCCTCAACACCCAGCAGAGGGCCATGAGCACCGGAGCTGCCCACATGCTCTTGCTCGGGTCACTGATGGGAAAGGCAGTTTTAATGGGGGGGTGGGGGGAAGGAAAGGAGCAGGAGGGATCCAGCGCCTGACACATAAACATGTCTTTGCAGAGCACTACAGGGAGGGAGTGACTTTCCCTTAGAAAGTAGGGCATCAGAGAACTCCAAACTGTGGAGGGCCTATAGCCAGACCCCTGATGAGTGTTTTACTCACATGATCTCATCTGATTCTCCCAGTGACCTGGGAAGCCGGCACTCTGCCCCTGTTCACATCTTTTACACTTAAGCTCAGAGAAGGTAGTGACTTGTCCAAGGCCACACGGCCATTCTACAGCAGATGATGCCTCTAACCTCTAACCCATGATGGGGGACCCCAAAGCCCATACAACCTTACCCCAACCCTAGAATTGGATATGGCCCTGAAATTGTAGGAACCAAAGGGCCCCAGACCCTCTCTGTAACAAGAGAGAACCTAGCCATCGCTGGCCCCTGGCCCCAGTCATTCTCTGCTATTAATGGCATTCTGGAGCCAAGATGGAAGGCAGGGATGGAAGGGTGGGAGGGTGAGGGTGGAGTGAGGACAAACATCCAGCCCCGAGAAGAAGGCCTGAAGTGGAGCAAATGGCAGACGGATTGGAACCCAGCCCTGCCAAACTCCATCTGCTGAATCCAGACGCTCAGGAGCCCCGGGTCCCCGAGCCATGTTCTTACTGCATCTGAAATAGCTGCAGACAGCAGGCTAAGAACCCTGGGGATGCGTCAGCAGAAATGTTTCCTGAACAGGCTTGGAGAGGAGGATCAAGGTCAGAGCTCATGCAGGAGCTGCCCCATGCATCCTAGCCTCCTCCCCAACCCCCTCAGACCCAGTTCTTTGGGGTCCCCTCCTCCCACATCCACTGAGGCCAGAGCCCAGATAAGGGTTTAGACCTAGCAGCTCAATTAATGGGACACTTCATCAATTCTATAGCTGAGGTGACTGAGGCTCAGAGAGGGAAGGCCACCTGCCCAAGGTCACAGCAAGGACAGAGCAGGAAATTGAACTCGATTCAAGGTTATCCAGACCACTTCCCACAAGAGTCAGGACCTGCTGCCCTTGATCCTCCATCTCTCCCCTCCTCAAATCTGTGGTGATTCAGAAAATACCCTTCCCTTCAGAGAGAACTCCTTTCTGTTTGAGTTGACCCAATCAGGGCCAGATATCCCAGCAGTTCGGTTTGAAGGAAGTGTGGGGCGAAAATGAAATGAAATCATGAAGGGCTATCACCTCTGCCGACCTCTTCCAGATGGTTTCCTAATTCTGGAAACGGAAGCCCGTAGGGTCTTGCATGGTCTGGGTGCCACCTCAGCAAAATGAGGCTCTCCCTTCTCCTCCCTTCTCTCCCCTTCTTCTCCTCATCTTCCCTCCCCTCCCCCATTTACAGCCCAATTCCTGGGCTCCTCTGCCTCCACTCCTCATTATGATGGAAGGGCTCTTACATAAAGGTGCTATTTTCAGCTCTTTGTTCTTCTTGCTTCTTTACTCTAATGTCAGGACAGCAGGCTCCCCCCCTCCACCTCAGCCCCAAAATGTACAAGAGGCGTGAGGCTGGGGGCACCCTCCCTGTTCTATATACGGGAAGACTGAGGCACCGAGTCACAAAGGCTTCTGGAAGGTCACAGTGGGGCTGCTGAGAGGAAGAGGACAGTCGGAGAGAGAGAAACCAGAGAAGGGAGGAGCGAGAATAAGAGGGAAAAAAGAG